ATGACTTGATATTTAAATATGACTTCCCTACAACTTCTCCATGGTCTTGCTCCATCTTATCTTTCTGAGTTGCTGCACCTTCATGCTTCCTCCTGTTCACTCAGGTCAGGCGATCAGCTGCTTCTTAAGGTACCAAAAACTAACTGGAAGCTGAGGGTCAATCATGCTTTCTCTGTAGCAGCTTCAAAAAAGTGGAACGACCTTCCATTGCAACTTAAATTGTCTACTTCTTTGTCTGATTTTAAATTGCTCTTTGAAAACTCACCTCTTTGCCTTGACTTTCTAAACTGTCTTAGATGTTGATTTTGGAGTCTTTGATACATTATTTTTATTTTATTATAGATTTTACAGTTCTGATTTTAGTTTTGTCTTTTATATTTGTATGGGTCACAGTCTTGGTTCTGTTAAGTTTTCTTAGAGTTTTCATTTTCAGGTTGATTCATGTTTTTCTTTATTTTCTAGTTTTATTGGTTTAATTCCTATTTTGTTGTGTTTTCTAGTTATATTTGAGTTCTTAGGTTTTTCTTGCTTGGCCTCTGTTCACTCCTGCTCCCAACCAGCTGATTAGTCTTGTCTTTGTTCAGTCTCCCATATATATACTCTTCCTGTGCAGGGGGCTGCTTCGTCATCTTTTCCTGGCTCCTCATGCATGTTTTCCCTGATGTCTCCATGGTTCTGGTTTGTTTTGTACTTTTATGTTGGATTTTTGGTTTCCTGCCTCAGTGGCCTGTGAGTAATTTCAATTAAATCTTTAGGAACTCACCTCTGCTTCTTGCCTCTGCATTCCTTTAGAGACAGCATGAAAAGTCAGCTGAGTACTTTTCATGCTGAAATTTTAAAGTGCTTCATAAAGTTGGATTAGATTGGAACCGTTGTTTCAGCAGCCAGTTGTTCCGCGCTGAAGATTTTGAACTATGTGCAGATCTGAATGAATCCCCAAAAGGTGTGAAATGCTTGACAACCCACTGGCAAACAGATGAATCTCCAGTCAACATTGCCCAGAGTAACCAGTGCTGCCAATGTGTGACCAAAACTATGCAAGATTTGCACGAGTCCTGCCAAAAAAAGGACAACCTCCCACTGAGATTCATCCAATCCAATGACGTTAGCATTGCTAACTGACTTCCTTATGTGTTTTCTAACCCTACTTAATGTTATGCATGTGACTGTTAAGCTTGTGTTCAATTTCGACTATGCTTCTTAAAAACTGGCCAAAAAAGTTGATAATTAAAACTGTTATCATTTTGTGTGTGAGTTTTTTTTATTTTATCAAATAACCTTACAAGTAAGATTTTATGTAATCTTTGATAAAAGTTCAAATTACGAAACAGTCCTTCCCCTACTTTGCATATGTGCTGATATTTCTCCTGCTTAAATGCGCAGCTCAGCCCCTCCCCTACATGTTGCTGTACCCATCCTGTTGAATGACTTAAGGAAGGATTAGATCCTTTCATTAAACGAAAAAATGACAACTTCAGCTTTTAAAATGTTTCCATGCAACGGTCCAACAGTCATGCTGTGCTAAAGGAGCACCGATCCTCAGTCCCATAAAGGCGGAACTTTGCTAACCTGCTGTCTGCAGGCTGCACCAGAGCAGAGAGTCTGAGTAATTAACCAAACAATGTCCCTCTATTAAAGAGCAGAGCAATCGAATGGTGCAGTATTCTGAATATTAAGGTGTTTTCTTCAACCCTTGTATAAAAACACTGGTTTTACATATACCAGTGAAACTATGACAAATGTTTATGCTTTTCCTATTTAAATAAAAACAGGATCCTGTAACACACTGTTTGTTTTATTACTGTCACATTGTTTAACTCTGGTGTTTATTCTGCTTTATGTAAACAAGAGCATCTCTTACTGGGAACAAACCTAAAAGAAAGTACAAGTTGTTTTGCCAAGTCTATTTTTATCCTCCCAAAACACTACTTTATTTTACCTAAAACATTTTATAATGACAAACATCATTCACGATTGGGGTAAAAATTAAAGTATTTCTACAATGAACTATGAATCATTCTGCTGTACAAAATAACCACAAATAAGGCAAATTTTCCTAAAATACAGGAACTCTTTTCTTATCTTATTTCAAGTGCATTATATCAAATTTTCTTACAGAGCATCTTACCTACCTACTCAAATTAGCACACACTTATATCAGGAAAGTTTTACTTAGTTTTCAAATAAGTTTTTATAGTGTAAACCCTTAATCAGGTTTACATTCTAATTATGTTTTAAATCAGAAAACAAATAAGCAGCTGGAGAAGATAAACTAAATAATAATCTCTGTTGGATAACGCCCCC